GCCACGACCGCTCCCCCGGGGCCGACGCGTCTGCGGGGAGAGAGCTGGCGACTCGTGCGTGGGGGGGTTTCATTCTCCCGATTCCACGGAACGCGGGCGGGGACCCGTTCCCAGGCTCGCCTGGTGCGCGTGTGGGGGAGCGAGCGAGCCCAGCAGAAGAAGCAGACGAACCGCAGCAGGCAGCTCCCAACACCGCGCCGCTAATGCGAGCCCGCACAGCGGCACTTTCACACCCGTCAGACTTAATTAGTCGCGCCGCGGTGAAGGAACGTGCATCAGGAGCAGCAGGTCGAGTTGCAGGAGAGTGACGGTCACTTCGCCTGGCCGGGTCACCACGTGGTCTCGCGGGCTCGACACTGAGGCGGTTCGCAGGGAGTAGAAGGCTCAGCTCTCATGGCCGACGATGGCATGCGGCGCAGTTCGTCGCCTCTTCATCGCTGGGCGTGAGACGTCGTCTGAGTGACCGTGTGGCCCCTGCCTCCTCCATCGCTCGGCGGAGTGTGAGCGCAGCTCTGTGCGGCTTTGCCAGGGAAGCGACTCGGCCGTCTCCGTCTTAGCGAAGTGAACTCCTGAACCCCGCGGTCGAGAAGAGCGAGTAGGGAGTGGCAGCCAAGAGAGGGAACGTACCCGCGGTGTATGAACCTCCACAGAGGAGATGGATCAATGCCGGTGGGTTGTGGTGTAGGTGCTGGATGGATTGTTACATCGCACGATGGCGGGGCGTGGGGGGGGCCTTCGTTCAGCGGTGCCGTGAACAACGATGCGTGCTGCAGGCGATAGCCACACCTCTCACGTGGGAATCTCACGGACGTAACATCCTGTGGGAAATCAGTTGGTGACACTGCAAGGGCAATGTTGCATTGCACGTGATTAGAGAGGGCAGAGAGATTGGCCATGAAAAAGAATGAATTAAACTTGTAACACGCACAGGATTCGGTCACTAAGTATTCGCCCACGATCACCACGTCGCGCGCTTTCAGATGCGCTTCTGCGGCCGTCTGGAACGCTCTTCCTTCCGATATTAGGAAGCCACCAGAGCAATGCACATTATAATGATCTAAATGTAAAACTCATTTTTTTAGAGCTGCTTTTTGTGTATAGTTTTTTGTCCTTCCCCCGCACCTTTGATTAGCACGGTTGACTACGTACGGCGCGAAAGAAGTTCAACATACACTCATACTGTCGAAGACAGATAACGACTCAAGACGCGTGAAGGAGGGACCACAGACAAGCCGAAAGGCAGTAGCTCTTTTTCAGAAGCGACCTCGCCACACGCGACAGCTCAATAAAATGGCTTATCGCGTGGGAATTTATAGCAACCAAATACTCTAAACGCAAGTTGATTCTAAATGTGGAGGAAAAACCCGGAAGACCCGGAGAAAAAATCCACGCGACCACAAGGAGAGAGACACGCAAACTCCAAATATACAGCAGCAGGCGTCAGGGTCTGGCTCGATCCCACGACCTCCTGGGCATACCAGGTGAGGCAGGGGCGAGATGTTGTCGGCCAAGCAATGAGTGTTTACATGTGGGACGCAACCGGGCCACGCAGATAAAAGAAAACCCGACGCGTGCGAGGGGGAAACACTCTATCCCATACAGCCAAAACAGTTTTGTTTAAGGCTGCAACGCCTTCACCTGGAGGGCCAGGCGTATCGCACCTCTTCGATGCTCACCCAGCGGTGGGAGCGAGTTTCAAAACACGAGGTGCGATGTTGTTCTATTGTTGCGTTTAACAAACAAATTATTCGCTGAAAAAAGTCGCTCCCTTTTGCTGACACAAATCACTAAAGGGTCGTGAGCCGACATGTGAAGCAGTGGTGTCAGCAGCAGCAGCAGAGCGTGCGGGCAAAGGGAGTCTCGAGGATGTGTATTGGGAAGTTGGGGAGCCTCATGTGAACTTGTCTGGCTTCAGTGCTGGGTGTGAATCGGTGAGACGGGGGGTGGGGGGGGGCAGCGCGGCTTTCAAATGCAAAGTCCGCCTGAAGCCCCCCCCCCGCCCATTATTATTCGCATTGCTTAGCACTCGGCTGCCGAGTTGTAAAACGCGTGGAATGTGTTTTACGGACAGGTTACCAGCGGTTCTCAAATTCTGTCATAGACGGGAACGTGGAACAGCCAACACATTGGTCAATTACACTGCGACATCGATATGATAGGTGACGTTTCAGGCAATGGACCTTCGCCATAGCACGTCGGCGATACGACATGTTTTGTTATTGACGGCGAGGTTGAGTTGTGATGATGTCCCAACACTTCCCACGCAGCAGCTGCAGCTGCAGCAGCAGCAGCAGCTGCAGCAGCAGCAGCTGCAGCAGCAGCAGCTGCAGCAGCAGCAGCAGCAGCAGCTGCAGCAGCAGCAGCTGCAGCAGCAGCAGCTGCAGCAGCAGCAGCAGCAGCTGCAGCAGCAGCAGCTGCAGCAGCAGCAGCTGCAGCAGCAGCAGCTGCAGCGTCAACCCAATGTGCCGTCGTATGGACACGTCTTCTCCACGGCGATGCCACTCTTTCTCCCCAATGCCACTCGCCGCTTTGATCCGCAACTCTCTCTCTCTCTCGGCCTTTCCCCGTCCTCAACTCCCCTCCATCACAGTGGCCTGCGATGCTTTAAAAGTCTGTTAACAAACAACAAACCTCACTTATATAGTCATCACATATATATATAAACACCTCCGATTAGCACGGCTGGCTATGTGCGATGTGAATGAAGTTCAACATGCATACAGCGCTTCGCTACGAAGTAGGGCCGTTGTCCGAAACGTCGTCCATTACTGTGGGAACGTGCTTTCTTTGAGTGCAGTGTTACTGACGAAGTGTTTCGTTTAAAAAAGAAACAACAGGACGAGTTATTGTAATCTGATTGCTAGCCAAACCCAAATAAGGCTGGATTACGGTGGGAACGTCTCCTTCGGTGATGTATTAATCTGATTCAGCTCGGCTGCCGTCTGCTATACTGTGGACACTTCATCAGCGGGACACACAGAGGAGCAAATAAAATACCGGCGATCAACAATGGCTCTCAAAGAGAATGGACTCGGAACAATCGGTAGCAACAATCGTTGTTAGCCAAATTGCTAAGACGTTGAATGTTGGGGGAAGGCAGAGGCCACGCAGAAAATTGTACGTTAACTTGTAAGCAGTCAAGCAAATCATCCTTCGCTATTACTCCCAACACAATACCGTGGGAATCGAAACAGTGGTTTCTGAGCGGATGTCCTGGCCACCGCCACGTGAATGTGGAATTCCCATGACTGACTCACAGACCACCAAGTGGAGACCGGCATTGCTTCGTGTGCCTCGTGCGTGAGACCCACTGCGAGATGTCGTTTGCCGGACAATACTGTACGACGAGGGGAGGGGATTGACCATACTTCACCAGGCCGGTCAGAGTGGTCTGGTGAAAAGGGGGTGGGTTAAGGTCGATTCAAATATCACTCGCCACTGATGTTAGCCGTGGTCGGGAATCGAACTCAGGGACCCGGGTTCGTAGTGAATGCAATATTACTTTAAAGTCCCCTTGGTCAATCCACTGCTGGACGAAGCTCTCCCCGCGCAGCGAAGGCTCATTGGGGTTGCTCATTAATATTTCATAAACAGCCATGATCGACCCACTGCTGGATGATGGCCTCCCCAAGCCGTCGCCATCCCTCGCGATGCTGTGCATGAGTAATAATTGACAGCTATGTGTCAGCTCTTGTCACGGAGCATGAACCACAATCACGGGAACTCCGCTCATCATCGCAGCATCGCGCGGCGCTTTCAGATGCGCTTCTGCGGCCGTCTGGAACGCTCTTCCCTTCCGATATCAGGAAGCCGCTGGAGCTACGCACTTTTGAACATCGAGAATGAGGACTCGCTTCTGTAGAACTGCTTCTTGTGTTTGGTTCGTTGTCCTTTCCACCGCACCTCCGATTCGCACGGGTGGCTACGTACGGTGCGAAAGAAGTCCAACAAACATATAAACAAACAAGGCGCCGAGAGTTGACGAATGTTGTTTTATTTGTAGTGAGAGTTGACGAGCAGTGGAGGGGGGGGGGGGAGAGACGGACAGTGTCGCTTCAGTTGTCACTCGCCACTGATGTTAGCCGTGGCCGGCAAGGACTCGAACTGAGGCTGCCAGCCTCGCAGCGCGGTGCGAAGCGCTGGCAGCGAGCACGTGGCACTGGCTGCGGTGCTGGCCGCTCGTTGCCTTTTGTGAAGCACGGTGACGCCTGCGCAGCTCGGTTAATACAAATCATTTGTTTTCATCGGCCACTCTTAAAAGTAAATGGTAAAGACATGGAGCGTTTAACCAAACATAGAGAAGAGGGTGAGCATTGGCACGGGTAATCAGGGGTCCACAGGCCACGGCTGCCACCAGTGGCGAGTGATGTCTGAACCAGTCCATCGCCCTCCCTTCTCTCTCCCGACCTCAAACGACAGTGCCAGTGTGCATTGCAAATGCGGGTGGCGGCTTGTGGAAGTCTTTAAACCAGCGGTGGATTGACCACGGCCGCCGCCGCCGCCGCTGATGGTCGAGGTGACGATCACGATGGGAACGTGGTTTGGGAATCGGGAGTTTGAAGAGCGCCTGCGGATCCCTGGGCAGCTGCGCGCGGAGCAGCGTCGACGAGGCCAAGCCGCGACGTTATCGCGGAGGTCTCCGTCGAGATGACGACTGCCCACAGGGATGGAGGGTCTGGGGCACGGGTGCCCCTTTTGGTGTGAGGACGGGCGGGCGTGGCCAGGAGACCTCCCGTGGAGACCCATGTCGCCACTCGTCTGGCAGCGCACCGCGCCATGGACCCCCATTGATGATCTGTCACCAGAGGTGACTCCATCGGCCTGTGCCGTCGTGAGAACATCCAGCCAAGGCTGCTCCTGCCTGCCCTGTCTCTCACTCTCTACTCGCGTCTCTCGTAGCACGGCCTCTCTCGGACATACACTTGGCGCTGTGCGTCTTGGTGCACGCTCTTGGATATCGCTCGAAGGGGGATAATCTCAATAATATCGATCAAGTGAGCATGAGTCATGCCGTGATGTCCGTCACGCTGGCCAAGGTGGTGAGGGTTTGCTCGCTGGCGGTGCTGACCTGGGCGTGTGGAGCTCCTGCCTGGTAAGTGGAACCTTCAACTGGTCGCGTCGTGATGATGACGACGACGATGATGATGGTGGTACGGATGGTTGGTTTGGGGAGCGGCAGTGTAGTTGGCTATAGCGCGCTGCGCTACGAACCCGGCGAGCCGAGTTCGAATCCCGCTTACGGCCAACACCAGCGACGATGATGTGAATCGGTCCCCTCGATCGACTCAGCCTCAAATGAGTGCCTGGCGCGGCGTGTGAACATCGCCACGGGGGAGACAAATGCGGTCGGGCGTGGTGCTGGCCACCCACCCCTCGTGTGCCGTGCCCGCCTTCATAGGTGCTACTCGCTAAGAGCACTTGCCCCAACAGTTTGTCTTTGGTGGTGATGTTGAAATGGCGGTGGCGATGATGGAGATGTTAAAAGTGGTGGTGGTGGTGGTGCCTGTGGCGGTGGTGGCGATATTTGGTGGAAGCGATGCTGGTGATAATTGTGGTGGCGATGATGATAGTGGTGGTGATGATGGTGGTCGAAGCGATGGTGCTGGTTTATCCACGATGTTTCTGTTGCGCGTCGTCGCTTTAAGATGTTCTGTGTTCATATTTTGTTTGTTGCGGTTGCACCCGACTCAGGAGCCGCATGGCTCACAGGGCTACACCTAATACATGAAACTTGAAATGATGGTGATGATGATGGTGGTGATGATGACGATGGTAGTAATGGAGATGATGATGGAGGTGGCGGTTACGATAGAAGTAAATCAATTTTGAAAAAAAGTTTTAAAAAATGTTTCTACCTTTTAATGTGTTTACGTGTGAGTGGAGTAGTGGTGCAATGGTTAGGGCACTGCGCGCGTGTGACGCTGCCGCCAGGGAAAGCCGAGTTACATTCCAGGCCACGCAAGCGCGATATTCTGAGCCGATTGCTGAGTTGTGGCCATACCCACCCCGGAGTGACCAGGGTGGAGAAGTATGGTCAAACAACCCCCCCCCCCCCCCCACGTGACCGACATGGCGTGGGGAGGCCTTCATCGAGCAGTGGATTCACAAAGATCTGTCGCAAGTGGAGGCCGCAAGGCATGGTGGCGTGTCGTCTTAGACCAGTAGTCAGAGGGTGATACATTTAGAGATAGCCCACGGATTTCTAGTAAGCCTCAGTAAATATTTTGAAATGGATAGCTCCATATCTTAGAGAGGAGAGAGTTACATCTGTAATCTTGCTTTCTGTAATGTCCCCAAGAGCGGTGTTCTGGCGATGTTTTATTAACGTATTTGGCTCTACGGTGGCGTTGTACAATGCAGCATCGTGTGCAATGCACGTGTACCTACAGGTATTATACACGTTGCGTCTGTGTGTTGTACTCTCTTACTATCACGGTGAGTGTGGCTGTATCGATGTGTGTATGATGATGATGGTGTTGGTGGTGGTGGTGACGGTGGTGTAGCGGTTAGCGCGCTGCGCTACGAACCTGGCGACCCGAGTTCCCGAGTTCCCGAGTTCGATTCCCGCTCACGGCCAACACCGGGCGTGGTGCTGGCCACCCACCCCCTCGTGTGCCGCGCCGGCCTTCATAGGTGCTCGCTAACAGGCTAACAGTACTTGCCCCAATAGTCTAGGCGGACTATACGGGGGATCTTTGTATTGTGCGTAAATGTACAGTATTATGATGAACACCTCTGTGTGGCATCGTCGTTATAGTGCGTTGCGCTGTGAGCTCGGACCCGCGGTTCGATTCCCGGCCAAGACGAACCCCCATAAACCCTCACTGACCAGCGTGGTGAAGTATGGCCACAGAGCCGTTATGTAACTGAACGGCGAGGGAGAGAGGCCTTCAAATAGCATTGGATTTACCAAGTGCTATGTTATTTTATTACGTTGTAAATTATACACACACACACGTTATACACACACATAATACACACACATTATATTGTACATGAGTCGTCCAGATATCTTGTGAACCACCATCAGTTGGCCTCTAACACTGTTTTCTTTTGCATATTCACGTCTGTTTGAAATAAACCTTGCTTGAAACAATATTACATTTTAGAGAATTAAATGGGGGGGGGGGGGGGGGGGGGGGGTCCCAAGACATCTGGACCACGCTGTGTACATGAGTGCACGTGGCTGTCAACCCACGCGGTTTACCCCGTAGTCTTGGACAGGGAAATTGAGTTTTCACGTCCATGCGGCACACAGCCGTTTCAATACGGGCACACATTTTTATATTTGTTTGTGTTTCTCCCTTGTGATGAGACTTTGTAGGATGAACGTTGAGATGTATAAGGGGCACGGGGTGAGACCAATAAGGTCTGAATTGGTCTGTAATAAGGTCGGCACTGATAAGGGGTTGACAGGCATGAGTGTGTAATGGACATTTGTAAGCGATTTGAAAGCGATCGCGAAAATGCAACGATGTAATCGTATAGCAGTGCCCAAATCTTATACAGCGCGCACATTCACGGCCGAGTTACAGCTGGCAACGTTCTGTCACAGAACGAGCATTGCTCCTCTCATATGCAGAGCGGGTGCGAACGTGCTGCCCCCCCCCCCCCACGAGGTGACGTCGAGGAGACTGTCGCGACGAAGGAAGCGATGTCAGGAGTCACTCTGCAGTATCCACTTCCGCGGGCCGTTCTCTTGCACGACGAGGACGCGCTGCTGCTGCTGCCAACGATCCGTGTCCACCCCCATGTTACCCGCGACTCCGAGTATCTGCGGCAGCTGCAGTGATAGATTAAGCTAGTGCGGGGCCTGCAGCAAATGTTATAAGGCGTCCCTAAAACATCTAATATTAAAGCACACATTTTAAACTTGCATAGTAAAGTAATTGTATTTTTTTCATTTTCTATACAGCCCGATAATACGACAAATCGCTAACCTTAAACACCCAGTCGTTCATAAAAGTTGAAGGTAGTATAGTACTATAGTAATAAGAGCAAGTGCAGAATCGCTGAACCGGAATTGATAGCTTGAAAGCGCGGGGCCCGTAGCTACTGCTACTACGGGCTCCGTAGTAGCTACTACATATATATATATGCAGTAGCTACTGCATATATATAGATGCAGTAGCTACTTGTGCTACTGGGAGAATCCGGCACTGGGCAGCTGTGAGGAGTCGTGGGAGCTATTGTCCGCCGCCCACCTCCTATTATCCGCGATTTTACCCACAGTTCACAGTTAATTGACTTTCTAATAGTCGCGGGTGTTTTCGGCATGGCTAAATTCATCCTACAATCTGCGGGTTTATCCGCAAAAAACTTTTTTTCCTGTGAAAAAGAGTTTCATAGCTCGTCGGATTCCGCCAGTATCAATATTCTAATTCTGTTTTTTTGCGCCTCCCTCCCCCTTCGGATAACGGGGTGACCTGCGGTGTTGGCTTTGCCCGTATCCACCGCGACTTAGAGCAGTCCTCCTCCGTGTGTACCGCTACACATCGTCTCAGGACATGGCCTTGGACAATCCCGTGGAGGGCACGATCCGCTAACATTTGTGTGGGAGAGGAGGGGAGGGGAGGGATGATCAAACTCATAACAAGTGCGCAACATTCGCCTTGGCCGCTTCCCGCTGCGATTGTTCGACAGCCCGCTGCTGCTGCTGCTGCTGCCCGTCCCGCCGGCTCGCTCAGGCAGCAGTAACGCAGACAGACGGTCGCCGCTCCGCTTGGAGATGTTTACACGAAGTGCCCCTGATGCTTGTTCACACACACGCGTGCGGAGCAGCGGCAGCCAATGCGTCACCCATAATAAACATTGCTTCGTGCCCCCCCCCCCCCCCCCCCCATTGTTCTTTATTGCAGGCCCATAAACAACCTACTCACTTCTGGCTCCAAGGTAAGAGATCTCGCCATCACTTCATCACTACTACTACTATGATGATGTCCCGCTGTGCGTGGTGGTGTTTTTTGTGAGGCCTCTCAATGCCACGTTGGTGAAGAGAGTGTGATGTACCGTGTACACCACGTGTCCCCACGTTGGTGAAGAGGGTGCGATGTACCGTGTACACCACGTGTCCCCACGTTGGTGAAGAGGGTGCGATGTACCGTGTACACCACGTGTCCCCACGTTGATACAAGGGCTGTTTTGGTCCATCACTCCGCGTCTTTATTGGCTTTCCAGACCAAACAATACAAAGTGGCGTTTAAGCGAGAGAACTATGCATCAGTTTTGACCTTTTGGGGACTCATCAGCAAAAATCTGTCTCGTCAGCAGAACGTACGTTTGTTGAACTTCTTTCGCGCCGTACGTAGCCAACCGTGCGGGGGAAGGACAACAAACTAAACACAAAAAGTAGAATCAAACATACGCTGCTGTCTTACCAGATGGTATTGGCAAGTGTGCTCCATCTCAACTCCGGTGGACCTGTTCAACAACAGACTATCACACTCATATTTGGGTCACAAACTCACATCGCGTCAACTAATCCCTCATCGCCGTCCACGTGTGTACGATCAATTCCACTGCTGGACGAATGCCTATCACGGTCGAGTACCAATTCAAACATCGCCCTGCAACAGGAGCTGGGAACATCGATCGTCGAATTAGGGTCGATAACGAGAGCGACCGCTTTGCGGGGAAAGTCACGTCGCGATTGTGCCAAGGGCAGGGGTCGAAAAACTAAAACAAGAACAAAAAGAAGAGACTTTTTTTTTAATTCGGTAAAAAATTTGTTCAAATATTTCAAGAGCCGCAATGCGACGTGAATCCGACTCGGTGGTCTCGAACTAATAACGTCGTGAAGCAGCAGTCCGCCATGAGTCGCACGCGGCTCCGGAGCCGCAGGCTGCCCAACCCCTGCCCATGGTAAACTGGAATTCCATGGTAAACTGGACCTCCATGGTAAACTGGACTTCTATGGTAAATGAGACTTTAATGGGAGTCAAGTTTACCATGGGAGTCCAGTTTACCGTGGAAGTTCAGTTTACCATGGAAGTTCAGTTTTACCATGGAAGTTCAGTTTACCATGGAAGTCCAGTTTACCATGGAAGTAAACGCAAAGAGCCGCACTGCAGCCCTGCCGACCCAGGCGTGCGCTACGGGGAGAAGTGGTCCACGCGGCAAGCCAGAGTCGTTTAACCCTGGAACTGTGCGGCTGACACCGTGCCTCCCTGATCGCTTGTACACCTTTAATATCGCGCAAAAACAAAAAGGTACAGTAACGTGTATAATATGCGCCGTGATCTGACAAAAGCACTCTTGAATAGACGAAACGTTCAGAACGAATGCAAATTAGCGTGAACTCATAAACGAAAACATAACGCTGAAAAAATGAGTAATTTCTATTCAACAAATAATTTGGCGATGTTGCTGCTGTTGGCAGTGGTGCATGAGCATCATCGTCATCAACAAACTACTCAACACATTCGACAGTAACAAAACCATGAATCAGGAAACATTTGAATAATTACATTTCTTATCAGGCCCCATGGACTCCAACTGTGAGCCACGTTATCTGACCTCTTCTGTGGAAAGGCTCAATGCCTCAAACGTTGCCTATTTCCATAATATATACGCGATGGGTTTTTTTTCCGGAAGAGGACAGATCACACGAATTATTGGACGTCTGTGAAAAAGATCTTCATAGCTCATCGGATTCCTCCAGTATCAAGACACATTCTGAATTGTACGCGCCAGTTCACCAGGGTTTATAACGACACCGCTCCACGCTGCATGCCTTGGCAGGCGCTAACTGAATGTTTGGGGTTATTATTTTTTAAATCTCCCATTGATCGAGAGCCAAATAGTGTGTGCCTCCCCTAAGCCAAACCCAAACCTCAAATAAAGCTCGTTGTTTAAACCCTGCAGCAAAGGCAGACAACATCAAGTTGCGGAAATATAACTCACATCCTTCGTATACAACGTCAACATTCCATCGCAACAGAATCATTACGATGTTTTATCTCTCGCTGTGCAATTCTCACAAACGACCTTCTTTCTCTACATTCACATTCCCTTGTCTGTAACGCGGCCCGGGCGGGGGATGGGGGTGGCTATGGTGGTGATGCCGCGCTGGTGAGGTGGAGGGTAGAGGGGCCGATGAGCTCAGAGACGCGGGCTGTTGGTGAGAGGAATCGGTGATTTGGGGAGCGGTAGTGTGGGGGTTAGCGTGCTGCGCTGGGAACCCAAAGCTGTCAACCCATGCGGCTTACCCCGTATTCTTGTACGGGGAAATTGAGTTTTCAGGTCCACACGGTGCACAGCCGTTTTGATACGGGCGAAGTTTGTTTGTGTTTCTCCCTTGTGACGGGACTTTGTAGGATGAACGTTGAGATGTATAAGGGGCACGGGGTGACCAATCAGGTCTGAATTGGTCTGTAATAAGGTAGGGCACTGTATTCTTTGGGTCTTTTGGTAAAGTCACGTAGATAGAAAAAATTATAACAAGATAAAGTGAATAAAAAATGTTTTTTATTCACTTCATTTTTATTATTTTAGTGTTATTATTTTTTCTATCTACGTGACTTTACCGAAAGACCCAAAGAATATGAATTCCTGCAGTCACGAAAGCTTTAAGTCAAGGTAGGCACTGATAAGGGGTTGACAGATATGCGAACCTGGCAACCTGGGTTCACAGCCAACACCAGTGACGATTATCTGAATCGGTGCCGGGCCTCCCCTAGTTCGACTCGGCCTCAAATCGAGTACCCGCGCGTGGTGCTGGCCACCCACCCCCCCATCGTGTGCCACCGTGCCGGCCTTCAGAGACGCTGCAGCTCGCTGACGGCACTTGCCCCGGCAGGCTGTTGCAGGCTGTTGCAGGCGACACGCGGCGGCGGCGGCAGGGAGGGGGGGAGATTTGATATCTTTGTCTTTCGTCTCGCCAGGTGCAGCCCTCCGTGGTGCAGAGCGTGACCGCGGGCGCGCGCCTCGGCCTGCACGAGTGCGCCGCGCAGTTCGCCTGGGAGCGCTGGGACTGCGGCCGCGCCGCCGGCGCCGGCGGTGGAGGAGGAGGGGGAGGAGGAGACGCAGGCGGCCGCCTCTCGGTGCAGCACGCGGCCACGCGGGCCGGTGCGGAACTCTCACGCACACAGAGCACACAGAGCACAGAGAGCACACAGAGTACACAGAACACACCCACCAGCCCCTCTCCTATCCACCCACCCACTCCCCTCCTGTCCACCAACCCACTCCCCTCCTGTCCACCCACCAACCCCTCTCCTATGGCCTTGGACAGGCAGTCGGGGCAAGTGCTGTCAGCGAGTGGCACCTATGAAGGCCAACACGGCACACGGTGGGGGCGGGAGGCCAGCACCACGCCCCCCGGCCGCCTTTGTCTCCCCAGTGGTGATGATCACTCAACGGCGCACTAGGTTACTCTCATTGAACATATTTCAGAAGTTGATTTCCCAAGTAAAGCCTTCATTGAGTTAGAAAGCGGTTTTTTTTCAAAGCCGGCTCAGCTGGCAGCCAACATCAAAGCATTCCACAATTACAGGTTTGAATATAAAAAACTCGTAATAAAAACAATTATATTGTACAATTACAATCGCACTTAACTCATCGGTGTCATTGAGGACAGAGATGGCCGGATGGAGATGCCAAGAGGCGGAACACGGCGGTGCCAACACTTAGTGGAGCGGGCACTCGTTTTTAATGCTGAGTCAACCTACGGGAGGCCCAGGACAGGTTGTAATATTCTTCACTCATGTTGGCCGTGAGCGGGAATCGAAGTCGGTTCGCCGGGTTCGTAGGGCAGTGCGCTGAGCCACCACACGGCCACTCCCCACCCCCACGCGTGTACACACACGCGCTCGCTTGCCGATGCAAAGACAAAGATCCCCCGTGTAGCCTTAACAGACTGTTGGGGCAAGTGCTGTTAGCGAGCACCTATGAAGGCCAGAACAGCATACGAGAGGGTGGGTGGCCAGAAACCACGCCCGGCCGCCTTTGTCTCCCCAGTGGCGATGTTTTCGCACCACACCAGGTACTCAGTTGAGGCTGAGAGGACCTCGAGGTCCCAGGACCGGTTCAGATAATCGTCGCCAGTGTTGGCTAACCGTGCCACTATCGCTCCTCATGCAAACATCCAATACAGCACAGCCGCCATTCGCCACTAAGTGACGGTGACGTCACCACCGCGCCCGTGCCAGGCCACGTGCACTTTGAGGCTACGTGAAGTGTCAAAAGCTCGCTGACAGGAGGGTCTCGGGACAGACCCAGGTGCTATGGGTTGGCTGACTGAGATGACCGGTCGATGCACCAGCCGTATCCCCTACTGTGCCAACTTGCTGAATATTATCCGCCCGGCGCTCCGCTCTTTGTTGTGAGCGTCGCTCCTCTGCCCTCCGCATGTTGCTGGAGCGTGACTGCCTCCGACTGCCCAGTAGCATGCAAACATACTACACACTCATCCACTCATCACACACATTACACACATATACACTCACAAACACACTTGCTCATTTACTCACGCACACACTCAATCACTCATTCGTACACACACCTACATCCTCATCACTAATGGCTGTTATGAATTCTCTGAGTCCCCCGCCACTCCTAGGAAATATTAATCTGACAATCTCATTGGCTGAAGGATTAAACGCGTACTTACATCGAGTAACTGAATAAAGAGACAATGTCTCCACATTGTCCATCTCCACGTAAAAATGTAAAGTTTTACACAATCCATCAGCCGCACGGCCTTCTGGGAGTGCGTATTATCAGCAGAGTCAGGCTTGCTTGAATCAGTGCTGGTGAACCTCCTATCCTACATGGTATGGACCGTGTATTTTTGCTTTTGAGGGTCCCAGTTCAACACAAAATGAGATAGTATTTCTTTTAATTTTTTTACTACAACGTGATCGTTCTGTGAAGAAACAGGTGTCCGTCATAGGAATGTGGAATTTCCAGCAACTCCCCCAGGGCCACCAGCACAGACGAGCGCTGCCCGATAGCTCAACGTATGCTGGGAGATGGCTCCTGACGGCTCAGGATTGGTGGGGAAATCAACGTCGCGTGGCCTGGGCACGCGACGTTGATGTAGCACAGAGACGTGTCGGAGGCCGAGTGGACATCCCGCGTGCGTCATCGTGTGAATGAACGCGTGTGTCTGCGTGCGTGGATTCACACATGCGAGTGTGTGAATGAGTGTGTTGTGTGTACGGTGGGGAGCGGTGGTGTAGCGGTTAGCGCGCTGCGCTACGAACCCGGCGACCAGAGTTAGATTCCTGCTCACGGCCAACATCAGTAACGATTATCTGAACCGGTCCTTGGGCCTCTCCTAGGTCGACTCAGCTACAAATGGGTACTTGGTGCGGTGTGTATATATCGCCACTGGGGAGACAAAGGCGGCCGGGCGTGGTGCTGGCCACCCACCCCTCGTGTGCCGTGCCGGCCTTCATAGGTGCTCGCTAAAAGCACTTGCCCCTACAGTCTGTTCGCGTGTTGCGTGTTGCGTGTTGTGTGAATGAACGAAGGGGCATGGTTGCGGAGTGGTTTAGCTCGCTGCGCTACGAACCCAGCGACCCGCGTATGACTTCTGCTAATGCCCGACGTCAGTGACGAATATCTGAACTGGTACTGGGCCTCCACTAGGTTGACTCAGCCTTCAATGAGTACCTGGTGTGGAGTGTAAACATCAGCATTGGGGAGACAAAGGCGGCTGGGCGTGGTGCTGGCCGCCCACCCCATCCTGCATCGTGTCGGCCTTCATAGGTGCTCGCTAACTGCACTTGCCCCAACAGCTTGTTAAGGCTACACGTGGAGGAATTTCGTTTTTTTTGTGAATGAAGATTGTGTGTGCGTGTGAATGACCACATGCGAATTAGCACGCGTGTGTGAATACACGTGTCCGTACACGTGTTGTTAATCACATTGGACACGTTTCACGTATGTCCTTGTGTTTGACACGTCTCCTCCTTGTCTCTTTACATGTTACCATAATGATCGACCTCTATTTAATGTTTTTGTAGCTTAATTGTCATCGGTCTAAATATAATCTGCTCTCAGGGGAGAGGCTTACTACTTGACTGATGTCGTGTGTGCGTTATTTTTCATTTCTCGTGTGACACGGTTGCTTTTGCCCTGATTTCTATTCGCTTTGCTGTAAATTATATTTGTTTTAGTTTAGTTTTTTATTTGGTCAACCTCGGTCACTCTCTTGCAAATGTGACTCATCCTGGTCCATCGAGGAGTGGGTGTGAATTTGTCTTCACATGCAGCGGGGAGACCCGCAGTGCAGCAGTTAGTGCCCTGCGCGACCCGAGGTCGATTCACCCTCACGACCAATGGCAGTGGTGAATAGTTGAACCCGGTCCTGGGAATCTCTCCTAGGTGGACCCAGCCTTGAACGAGTACGGTGCGTAAACATCACCGGGGAGACAAAGGCGGCCGCGCGTGACGTGGCCGGCCCTGGCTAGCGAAGAGCCCTTGCCCCAAGTCTTGTTGAAGGCTACACGGGTGACCTTTGCCCCTGTGCCTCGTGTGTGCGCGCAGCGACCCGCGAGGCCGCGTTCGTCCACGCCGTGAGCGCGGCGGGGGTGGTGCACACGCTGGCGCGCAACTGCAGCGCCGGCGACTTCGCCAGCGAGTGCGGCTGTGACGACAGCAAGAACGGCGAGCGCGGTGAGGGCGGTGAGTGTGGTGAGAGCGGTGAGTGTGGTGAGGGTGGTGAGGGCGGTGAGCGTGGTGAGGGCGGTGAGTGTGGTGAGGGCGGTGAGCGTGGTGAGGGCGGTGAGCGTGGTGAGGGTGGTGAGGGTGGTGAGGGCGGTGAGCGTGGTGAGGGCGGTGAGTGTGGTGAGGGCAGTGAGCGTGGTGAGGGCGGTGAGCGTGGTGAGGGCGGTGAGGGTGGTGAGGGCGGTGAGCGTAGTGAGGGCGGTGAGCGTGGTGAGGGCGGTGAGGGTGGTGAGGGCGGTGAGCGTGGTGAGGGCGGTGAGCGTGGTGAGGGCGGTGAGTGTGGTGAGGGCGGTGAGGGCAGTGAGAGCGGTGAGTGTGGTGAGTGTGGTGAGTGTGGTGAGGGCGGTGAGCGTGGTGAGGGCGGTGAGTGTGGTGAGTGTGGTGAGGGCGGTGAGCGAGGTGAGGGCGGTGAGTGTGGTGAGGGCGGTGAGCGTGGTGAGAGCGGTGAGTGCGGTGAGTGTGGTGAGGGCGGTGAGTGTGGTGAGGGCGGTGAGGGCGGTGAATGCGGTGAGGGCGGTGAGTGTGGTGAGTGTGTTGAGTGCGGTGAGTGTGGTGAGGGCGGTGAGTGTGGTGATGGCGGTGATGGTGGTGAGGGCGGTGAGTGTGGTGAGTGTGGTGATGGCGGTGAGTGCGGTGAGTGTGGTAAGTGTGGTGAGTGTGGTGAGTGTGGTGAGGGCGGTGAGTGTGGTGAGGGCGGTGAGGGCGGTGAGTGTGGTGAGGGCGGTGAGTGTGGTGAGTGGGTTGAGGGCGGTGAGTGTGGTAAGTGTGGTGAGGGCGGTGAGTGCGGTGAGGGCGGTGAGTGCGGTGAGGGCGGTGAGTGTGGTGAGGGTGGTGAGTGGGGTGAGTGTGGTGAGTGGGGTGAGTGTGGTGAGTGGGGTGAGTGCGGTGAGGGCGGTGAGGGCGGTGAGGGTGGTGAGTGCGGTGAGTGCGGTGAGGGCGGTGAGGGTGGTGAGGGTGGTGAGTGCGGTGAGGGCGGTGAGGGCGGTGAGTGTGGTGAGTGTGATGAGCGTGGTGAGGACGGTAAGCGTGGTGAGCGTGGTGAGTGTGGTGAGTGGGGTGAGTGTGGTAAGGGCGGTGAGTGTGGTGAGTGTGGTAAGTGTAGTGAGTGTGGTGAGGGCAGTGAGTGTGGTGAGTGTGGTGAGTGGGGTGAGTGTGGTGAGGGCGGTGAGTATGGTGAGTGTGGTGAGTGCGGTGAACCGTTGCTGACGCACGCGTGCTCCTGCTCCTGCCGCGCCCCAGCAGGCGAGGGCTGGGTGTGGGGCGGCTGCAGCGACAACGTGCTCTACGGGCAGCGCGTCGCCCAGCAGCTCGCCGACTCCGTCGAGGCGGCGGAGCTCGACCCCCGCGCGGCCGTCAACCGGCACAACTTCGAGGCCGGCCACGCGGTGAGACTCCGCCACGACCGACTGTCCGTCGGGGCGGGCGAGACTCCCGCTTGCCCGCTCGCCGCAGCCTTGCGCCTGCCTCAACACGCTCGCCGCTGTTCGCGCGAAACCGCGGTTATCCTCGCGGCGGCGGCGGCTTTTGGCTATGTCCGTCGAACATCGCGCGGCGCTTTCGGATGCGCTTCTGCGGCCGTCTGGAACGCTCTCTCCTTCCGATACTAGGAGGCCGCTAGAACTACGCACTTTTAAATCATCGTCGAGATTGACAACTCTCTTCTTTAGAACTGCTTTGTGTGTTCAGTTTGTTGTCCTTCCTCCGCATCTCTGGCTACATACGGTGCAAAAGAAATTCACTACTACACTATACACTACTACACTATACACTACACTATACACTACTACACTACACTATACACTACTACACTATACACTACTACACTATACACTACTACACTATACACTACACTATACACTACTACACTACACTGTACACTACTACACTACTATACACTACTACACTACACTATACACTACTACACTACACTATACACTACTACACTATACACTATACACTACTACACTATACACTACTACACTACACTATCAGTGGCGGCTGGTGATATTTATTTTTGGAGGGGCGCATTTTTTAAATTTTATTGAGGGGGGCAAATAAATATAAAGCAGTACCAAAAGCCATTTTGACTACTTGAATATAAATTTTGATGATCTTTATTTACATTTCAGACCAAAAGAAGTACCAAAAAGCATGTTTCCTACTTGAACATAAATGTTTCTCTTTTATATACATTTCAGACCAAAGTACCAAAAAGCATGTTTCCTACTTGAACATAAATGTTTCTCTTTTATATACATTTCAGACCAAAGTACCAAAAAGCATGTTTCCTACTTGAACATAAAAACGTTAGTTTCATGCTATTATCAATATGGCTGCGGCTACTTTCATGACGTTTGCATTTGTCAGAGAGATGTTTGAGGTCTCTTACCCCCGTCGTTGTCCACAAAACTTCAGTGCCGACACTTTGAAATAAAAGACAGGGAAAACAAAAAAGAGAATTGCTAACATCACATCCAGCCAGCCACCTCCGTTTCTCATAACAAGCGCGGGTGAAGCTTCGTGTGTAGCTTCGTCCTCTGTCACTGGCCTGCTGCTGGATTTGTAAATCGGGTTGGTCCGGTCCGAGATCCTTTATCTTTTTTATTTCTTCCAGCGAAAGCCTTGTGAAAGGGTTTTTTTGTAAATAAATTACAGAATTTGGATGAACTGCTGCCATTGTTTACACAAAAAATTTGATCAGCCTAGCAAGTGTCAAAGTGGTGTCGCCTTCGCACTCGCAGTAGTGGCCTACAGCGTAAATTTGAATGACAGGTGACGAGAACCAATCAGATTGGATAAAATAACATGTATCCAATTCTGATTGGCCAGGGACGCAACGACTTGCGCCCCGAGGAGAATCTTTAAGAAACCAATTAGAGACCAGCTTCAGGTCACATGCTGTCCGAAAATGTAAAGTCTCACATAGACATCCATTTGTCCGGCGCCCCGCATAAAACACATTGAAAAACATAGAAAATAGTTGACCGATTAAAGCCAGTTTTTATTAAATGCTGATGCTTTTCTTACTACCAGCCGGCACATCGTATGAAAAAAAGATTTTATTTATGTATTTTTATATAAATTTTGTATATGTATATTTCTGGAATATTGATGGGGGCGGCGCCCCTGCGCCCTCTATTGACGAGCCGCCACTGTACACTATACACTACTATACAACACACCACTGTGCTGAATTCGTAACAAATTGGCCACGTTCTGTTTACGTGACAAACCTGACTGGCTGGCTGTGTCGGGTGGTGGTGGGTTTTACGACACATTTATATTTACGCGATCTAACCCAAAACACTGCACTATTATGCATAATATTGGTTGCGAAAGCCTGCTACAAGTTAAATCAACGTTAACAAAGGCAGTCGAGGTCTCAACGCTCATAAATGGGCGTCGCCGATTGGCTGAGGCCATGGCTCAGCCCCGTTGACGAGCGCTCGGATTGGTCCAAATCGGCGCCCGCGTGCATCACGTGAACACGTTCGTCGAAACCACGGGGTCGTGCGGGAGGCGAAGCGTTAACCGAATAACCGCTAACCAATGTCACTGTTCACCGAGGGACGACTGGACTTTCATTTTACATGGCGTTATTCATGGTCACAACATCCCACAACACTCTGCGTCAATTATATTTCAGGCCCAAATCCCACATACGCGGTTGGCTACGTATGGCGCGATAGAAGCCCAACAAGGACACAAGCAAAGATCCCCCGTATAGCCCGTAGCAGATTGTCGGGGCAAGTGCTGTTGGCGAGCACCTATGAAGGCCGGCACGGCACACGAGGGGGTGAGCGGCCAACACTATTCCCGGCCGCCTTGGTCGACCTCCGTAGTGGTCGACCACCGCTCCCCACACGCACACAGAAACACAAAGACATGCACACCTGCTACTCACACTCGCTTCAGCCACACATCCTCACCTCTGCATCAACCCACTCACCACGATTCACGCAAACTCTGGGTGGGGGGGATGTTTGGGTCTCAATGGGAAGTCTTTCCAACAGGACGGAAAATAAAAGAAAACATTTTTAATTAGGAGCTAAGATTCAATTTGTACCCTGCTGAGTTGCAGCTGTAGTCACATTTGGAGGGTGGGGGGAGGGGGTTTGGGGGGGGGTTTGGGGGGTCTAGGCGTAAAAAGTTTTTTTTGAGAATGTTTTTGTTTTTAATTGGAAACAAACAAAACTGCACGTGGGTTTTAATGTAAATAAACGGAGGCTTGGAGCGCAAACTCCGCTGCGGCCGGGAGTTCAAGAAGTCACTCTCTCCGCAGGCCGCCGACTAAAGCCGTCGCTTGGAATTAACTCTGCGCCGGGGGGAGATCTGTGTCAAACTGGGAGGGCGTCGGTTTTTTTCAGAATCCAGTCCAAGTCTGGCATCAACACTTCAATCGCATACAACTACTCTTTAACGATTCGATTTAAATCGTTACTCTTTAACCATTTATTTTATTCTACCAGGTAAGGCCCACTGAGCTGTGTAGCTCTTTATTCAGAAGCGACCTGCCCACAAGTGACAGCTCAATAAAACGGCTTATCACGTGGAGATTTATAGCAGCTAAATACTCTAAACGCGTGTTTCTAAATGTGGAAGGGAAACCGGAGGACCCGGAGAAAAATCCACGCCACTATGGGGAGAACACGCAAACTCCAAATATACCCACCACCTCCTGTGTACCAGGCGAGGTAGTTAACATCTCCTAGCCACCGTGGCGCACTGTATTTTAACTTCATCTTAATTCTGCCTTTTGAACCTCAGGCATTCAAGTTTCAAGTTAATTTTGTTGAGACCAGGTGAGAAATTGGCAGATTGTGCGGTCTCATTTGCAAGACTGGACTGGAATGATGGACTTCACAAATGCCGTTGGTCGCTCATCTGTCTCTCTGACCTTTGCTTCTTGACGTTAACCCGTATATTGTGTTCCATCGGTGCCTTCGTGTGTCTGTGTCTATAAGCCTCAAGTATTAACAATTACTTTCTTTAATTTCATAGCTACTTTGATCTGCCTCTATGAGCCCTGGTCTCCAATAATGGATTCTGGCGTTAACGTTGCTGAAAAGATTTAAAATAAAATGTCCCATTGTAAGTTCTATAGACTTCTAGAACAAGGGCTGTTAGTGCGCACCAGGTAAGGCCGGATCAGCAAGCAACAGGGTGGTGTGGCCAGCATCTTGCCCGTCCGCCTGTGTGGTCTCAGTGCAGTTGTTGACACACCCCACCAAGTACTCATTTAAGGCCGAGTCGATCTAGGGGAGGCCCACGACCTCTTGTGATATCGCCCGTCGCAGGTGGCTAGGAATCTTAAAGCAGTGGATAAACCGATAATGGTGGTGAGACGTTAACTACCTCGCCTGGTATACAGGGGGTCGTGGGTTTGATTGATGCCAACCCTGACGCCTGCTGTATATTTGGAGTTTGCGTGTCTCTCCCTCTCTCTCTCCCCGTGGTCACGTGGATATTTCTCCGGGTCCTCCAGTGTTTTCTTCCACATTTAGGACGTGCGTTTGGAGTCTTTGGCTGCTATACACTTCCGCACCAAAAGGCTCTTCGTTGGGATACCATTTACGGCCAGGTCGCTTCTAAAAAAGAGCTACATAGCTCAGTTGGCCTTACCTGTTAAAATAAAATAAGTTTAAGTTTGTATACTTTAATAACACACACACACGCAGGAGTCACATCTGGTGTCTGCACTCCGTGAGACCCCCCACCCTGCCACCCCTGGCCAGATGGACTGGCAGAAGAGGCTAAGCGGTAGGAAGCAGTGGCACGGTTTGATGGGCAGGTAAAAGGCCACCGTCGCTCACCCTGGCCTGACCCCCACGACACCACGGGATGAGCTATGATATCCCCGCCCCATCAGGAGGCCAACAGAGGAAACATCACAGGGGGTGGGGTGGGGGGAGCGCCAAACTCCCGACAGGGTGCCCGGCTGGCACAGCTGAGGGCCAGGGTTTGAATGCCAGGATCCCACCAGAGATAAACAAACGGTCACGGGGTGGGGGTGGGAACCCATTGTTAAAAACTCACTAAAGGGTGATTGTACTTTGGTGAGCTGTACCCTTCTTGTTTTTAACAATGATTGTACTTGTTGATTTAAAAACACACTTCCCGAATACGAAAGTGATTTGGTTGTTCGTAGAAATTTCTTGAAATAGCTCAAGGACGTCAGAAAACTAATAACAGGAAATGCAATGTGATGCTTTTATGCTCCTTGACGAGAATTGTGCGTGCGTGCGTGCGCACACACAGGCCGTGCGGGCCACCATGGGCCACGTGTGCAAGTGCCACGGCGTGTCGGGCAGCTGCACCCTGCAGACGTGCTGGCAGCAGCTCTCCGAGCTGAGCCGCGTCGGCGCCCACCTCAAGGAGCGCTACCGCCGCGCCGCGCGCCTCGACCTCCTCCGTGCCGCCAACAGCGCCAGCGCCGTCGTCGCCACGCACGGAGCCGCCGCCGGAGGCCCCCGCGAGGCCGACGGCGGCAACGGAGCGCGAGCCGGCCCGGTGGCGTCGCACCGCTCGCCGCACGCCGCCGCCGTCGCCGCCGCCGCCCAGGATGCCCTGCGCCTGCTGGAGCCCGACGGCCTGGCCTTCCTGGAGGACTCGCCCGACTACTGCCGGCGCAACGAATCGCTGGGCGCGCCGGGCACGCTGGGACGCGAGTGCCGGCGCGGGAGCGGCGGCGCCGACGGCGCTGGCGCGGACGACAGCTGCGAGCGGCTGTGCACGGCGTGCGGGCTGCGCGTGCTGGAGCGGCGCGTCAGGGTCACCAGCCCCTGCAACTGCTCCTTCACGTGGTGCTGCCGCGTGTCGTGCCAGCAGTGCACCAGCGTGCACAGCAAGTTCCGGTGCGGGCGGCCCGAGGCTGCGGGCAGGGCGCCCGGAAAGAAGAGGCTACGCGCACGGCAGCAGCAGCAGCAGCAGCAGAGGGGTCGCAACAGGAAGCCCAACGCGGCCTCGCAGGCCGTAGCAAACAAGACTTCATGAGAAAGGCCAGGCAATGAACCGATACGTCAGGAAGTTACAATGATGCCACTCACAACAAGCACTGGGGCGATGTACGTTTTGTTGGTCCTTGAGCCCGTGGTGGAGATTCCACTTTATCCGTGATGGGAGGACACATTCTCTACAACACGGATGGATGACTGTTGAATGCCAAGTCCCACCAAGCGGCTCAATTCGGGCGAGTTGCTGGGAACGTGTAGACACATCATCATTCCGCCGTGGACTCCACGCTCATCGTTCTTACGAGGTTAATCAAACTGAGCGTTACTTTGTAGGAAGCCACCAGTGGTTGATATCGGTGTGTGTTTTTAAATGTTGCCTTTGCTTTTGCTTGAGTTGTATTATTTTTCAAAGTCTTGCCATTATGACACATGAACGAGTATGGTGGTCACACTGCACCGAGTACTCATTTTAAGCCAAGTCAACCTTGAAAAACCTATACCAGGTTTGGATGTGAGGAACTGATGTCAGGAGTTAAACCCTGGGCTGTTGTTAACTCGTGCGGTGTGAATACTCACAAAGAGGCATCGCTGCCTTTTGAGAAGCCAATTGTAAATTCCAAGAAAATAACACATTTTCGCGTGGGCAAGCAGCATCATTGTCCAACTTTTGAGTTAAAACATTTTTTTATTGAAATTGTCTTATAAGAAAAACAGGACCCGACATCCATCAGTCGGAACAGGGCCAAAATCGCCAACGGGCATTTGACACTCGGTGAAAATGTGATATTGGCATTTTAATTACGGGCACGGAATTGGCTGGGAAAACAGCCACCAGGCAAACTCCGCATGTGCCTCGTCAATTGCCACCTTCATGGCTATTGCTCTGCCTTTAACATGGGCCGTGTCAAATGTTTTGTTCGCCTTGGCAAGTGTTCAAACAACTTGTCTCAACGAGGCATTGGTGAAAGAAACCCACATTCCCGTGGTAGGCGCTAGTCTGTAGATGCAACAACTACCAATGGCATCCCACAGTGATAACTCATTTCATCAAGCCCATGGTGAAAATGAGTCGGGTTGAACTCCAACCAGAATTTGAAATTGTAACCCTCCAATTCTGAGGTTAAGCACTCTTACGAAAGCACTACCTGGACAAATCAACAGCTGGTAGTGCAAATAAACAGGGTGCTTCAATAAAATGTTAACTTATATGGGACTCATATTCGTGGTTCTTTCGGTAAAGTCACGTAGATAGAAAACGTAGGAAAGCTTTAAACATTTTTTATTCATTCACTATTGTAAAGTTTACTAGTTGTGGTTGTTGCAGTGACGTTTTTGCATTTAATTTTGATTTGTTTTCCATCTTCGTGACTTTACCCAAAGAACCAAGAATATGTAAGTTAAGTCTAAATTATATGGGAATATCGTTTTTAATGGAAAAAGAACGGATAAGACACTGTAACATGATAACAAATGTATGTTAATCGCTTTAAAAAGTCAAGAGCCTCCACTTGTTCGCCATCGTTGTCAACGCGTGCCTGGAATCTTCTCCAGGTGGTCTCCAGAGCCTGGAGGCAGATTTATTGCGTTATTGTCGCAAGTTCTCAGAAGTGTTCACATGTTTTTGAAGCACTCTGCATATATTCGAGCTTGTGGCTTTAGGATCCCTTTGCGAATCGGCGCGTACCACTGAGCACGGTCGTTAGCGAACGTTGACACTGTCCTTTAGCACCAGATGTGTGGAATTGAAATCGCTGGTTCAGGGTCGCCAACACAAGAGACGCCCATGTCCTTTTGAGACGCTGCGACGTCAACGCTTCACGTGGCAGACGTCCCAAGGGGACCGAGCCAGTGATTGGTCAACAGAAAGGATGGTTCTAAATAGCGCATGCGAGTCTCGGTGCTTTTGTTTCACGTGTAGCCATTAACTTTGTGCCTTTCGCACCAAACGTATATGATTGATGTGCGAGCGTAAGAGTGACTTTTTAATTTGCTCCAGTATTATTATTCTGTGGTGGTTAGCAATTCATAGATTGTCGGTTTAATAATTTATGCTGTACTTTTCCTGTCCCATAAGTTTACATTGAACGGTTACTGACCGGACCGAGAGCCTTTTAACCTCATTCTCATGTAAGGTCTTTCCCGTACAAAAGCTTTACATATGTTTTTATTCATTCACTACTGTATAGTTTACTAGTTGTGGTTGTTGCAGTGATGTTTTTTGAAGTACAATATTTTTGCAGTTTAAAACTCTTGTCTCTGATTTCTTGAATACAAACGGACCCTATGACTCCAATTACTTGGACGGTGCAATCGGGAGAGGTGGTGGTGCTGGGTGGGGCACGTGTGCAGGGTGGAGGACGACAGCTCACGAGACGGGCAATGGAGTGACCCTCAGTGGTCAGGGACCAATGGGAAGATCTCAAGTCAGACGGCAGCGGCTTTGGCGACGAGTGAAAGCATGGCAGCTCGGGAGTCAGGGGATCGACCACGACAGCGGCCGACCACTACGGAGGTCGACCAGAGCAGGCGCCGATCCCGTAGAAGCGGTGGTGATGTGGTGATGTGGTGACGTGGTGATGTGGTGACGTGGTGACGTGGTGATGTGGTGATGTGGTGATGTGGTGACGTGGTGATGTGGTGACGTGGTGATGTGGTGATGTGGTGACGTGGTGATGTGGTGACGTGGTGACGTGGTGATGTGGTGATGTGGTGATGTGGTGACGTGGTGTGGTGGGATCAACAGCATCCACTTTGATGACCTCTCGACGTTGACCAGGACTCCGGGGATTCCTTCACTCATTTTTGGAGGGGGCCACTTTCGCCGATAAGACATCGTCAGTGTGAGAGCCGCCACACCGCCTGCAAGAGGTGTCGTCACTCTGTGTGTCGGGGGCCGCAATGAAGGCCACCAGGGGCCGCCAGTGGCCTGCGGGCATTGCAATGAAGAACGCCGCCTTAGAACAAGTCGGGTATTACCTGGACTTGAGCATTCGTATTTAATGTGAAAACCCATTCTATGTTGGAGGTCATTGCCAAGGAATATATTACCCAATCAGTGCACGGTAACCTATCCCTAACGAACATGTGCCAGCTGCTAACTGATAAAAGATTAATATGGAGTCACTTGGTTTAATAGGAGTCACAGTGATACACATACAGGACGCCGAATTTGGATGACTAACCTGATCAAGAAAAAGAAATGCACAAGATTGTACGGAATTGCCCAACGTCAACTATTACTGGACAGGCCTTTGCACGTGCCGAGCAGTGCCATTTCTGATTTATCAAACGACTTCGTCCCCCATGGGGGTTACCTTCATATCTCGAGCCTTAAACCAGATGAGGACCGCATGCCAATAACCTCGACCGAGATGTAGCAGTGGAATGTTTTGATTCTTTCATTTAACTTTTGGGGCATTTGGCACGAGCGTCAAATGTGCTCGTGTTAAACACGTGGGGCGAGTGCCGACCGAGCTATTCGGAGCTACGGATCCGAGCGAACAGAGTTTGGATTCCCGGCCACCGTTTGCATCAGTGGCGAGTGATATCCGAACCGGTTCTTGGGTCCTGGCCTTTACCAAGCCGCACTCGCCAGTGTGATGCTGCACGGTCAATCAACCCCCCCACGAACAATACGGCACGAGGGAGCCCGCAAGTGACCTGCATTGGGTCGACAGTACCGCGGGCTTGACATTAAATAAACAACACAGGCAACCGAGGCTGAATTGTGGGACTTCCCTTGCCGAAGAGGAGCTCTGGGACGGACGGACAGACACGCAACGCACCAAGAAAACAGAACGCAAGGCAGCCCCGTCACGTTGTTTTTTCCTGTCCATGTTCATCATCTCATAAAACACAGCACAGTGCTAATATTGCGCAAGACGAGCAGTACAATCGGCGGTCCCTAAGAGACCTTGGTCCACGCTGCTTTTGCTAATTAACACTGCCGCCGCCGCCGCCGCCGCCACCGCCACCGCACTTTACCCCAAGGAAACTTCATTTCAAAAGCTGTCGCTGAATAAAAACCCACGCCGACCGGGGCCTGAGTGGACGCTTGCCGCCAGCCGTCCCCAACAGCGGCAAATGCCGACGGTACAGCGGCAACGTCGCCCTAATTTAGACCATCTCGACATTTACGTGATCGACTACAGTTTTATTTTCTCAACGCTGTCAAAAGCATTTATTTTAAATGTTCACAATCGTTTTATTATATTTCTATCACATCTTCATTCGTCAACCAATAAACCAAGGTATTTGGAGGTAAATAAAATTTGGCTTACGGTTGCTGGACACACAGCTACTGAGTAGACACATAAAATCATCTTGTGATGTCCGTGTGTGGGTGCACGTGTGCGTACACATGCGTGTGCATGCGCGAGTGTGCATATCTGTGTACACGTGCAAACACATGTTAACACCTGTGCCAGCGTACACACGTGCATGCACGCTGTTGAGTGCGTGTGTGTGGGGTGCGAGAGTGTAGTGGTTGGTGCACTGCGCTACGAACTCAGCGACCCACGTTTTATTCCTACTTTTATTTTTTGCAGGTAAGGCCCACAGAGCTGTATAGCTCTTTTTAAGAAGTGACCCGGGTTACAAATGATAGCTCAACAAATTGGCTTATCGTGTGAAAAATTATAATAGCCAAATACTCTTAAATGCATGTTTCTAAATGTGGAGGGAAAATCCGGAGGACCCGGAGAAAAATCCATGTGACCACTGGGGAGAGAGAGACATGCAAACTCCAAATATAAAAGTGTCAAGAGTCAGGATCGAACCCACGACCTCCTGCATACCAGGCGAGGGAGTTAACATCTCCTAGCCACCGCAGTGCCGCGGTGGCTAGTTACCAGGGCACCATGGCTAACATTGGTGATTATCTGAATAGACATGGCCTCCCCCTAAGTCGACTCAGCCTTATGTTAGTACCTGGTGTGATGTGTAAACATCGCCACTCAGGAGACGCATGCGGCCGGGCGTGGTGCTGGCCACCCGCCCCCTCGTCCGCAGTGTCGGCCTTCAGATGTGCTACTCGCTAACAGCACTTGCCCCAACAGTCTGTTGAGGCTATACGTGGGGTCTTTGTCTTTGTGTGTGTGTATGTGTGTATATGTGTGTATGTGTGTATGTGTGTGTATGTATGTGTGTGTGTATGTGTGTGTATGTGTGTGTATGTGTGTGTATGTGTGTGTATATGTGTGTATGTGGGTGTGTATGTGTGTGTATGTGTGTGTGTGTATGTGTGTGTGTGTATGTGTGTGTGTGTATGTATGTGTGTGTGTATGTGTGTGTGTGTATGTGGAGTGCAATTGGGTTTTTGTCTACCACCACCTAATTGCACACTGGAGTCGGGGAGTGACGACGAGGAATGCTGGGCAATGGGGGAGAAAGCAACTGGGTGTGACGGGAGGGAGGCAGGGAGGGGAGGGAGGGAGGCAGGGAGGGAGGGAGCGATGAACAGGGGCTGCTCTCATCAGCAGCCAGCCACATGGATCTCTGCCAAGCTGGCCACGAGACAGACCGCAGCCAGACAAGCGGCACTCACAAGGTGACAGCCGGGCAAGGC